TCAGCAATTGAATGAGATAAACAAATTGTTGTATGTTCACACAATGGCATACTACACCACACTGAAAAAGAATGGACGAATGCTATACCCAACAAGAAAGAATCTCACAAGCATAATATTGAATGCAGAGGGACAGGTACAAAAGACGTCATACTGGATGATTCCATTAATACAAAATGTAAGAACAAGAAAAAAATCTATAACGTTAAGAGTTAAGATAATGGTTACCGTTAGGGGGCAGTGGATGGTAACTGGGAAGGATCGCAGGGACCTTCTAGGGGGATGGTAATGTTCCGTTTCTTGATTTAGACGCTGATTACACACATGGGTTCACTTTGTGGAAACTGACCAAGCTGTGCATTTATGATTATTGCACTTTTCTTTATTTAAGATATACTTCATTAAAAATGTACTTTACGGGGCGCCTGGGTGGCTCAGTCGTTGGGCTCTGCCTTCGGCTCAGGTCATGATCCCAGGGTCCTGGGATCGAGCCCGGCGTCGGGCTCCCTGCTCAGCGGGAAGCCTGCTTCTCCCTCTCCCACTCCCCCTGCTTGTGTTCCCTCTCTCTCGCTGTCTCTCTCTGTCAAATAAATAAATAAAATCTTTTAAAAAAATGTACTTTACATTAAATTTACATTAAAATACATGGGAATGTCAGAAGGAGAAGAAAGAGGAAAAGCAATAGAAGAAATATCTCAAGTGGTAATGACTGAGAATTTCCCCAGGTAATATCAGACACCAAACCACAGAACCAGGAAGCCCAGAGAACACCAAGCAGGGTAAGTGCCCCAAAATGATACCTAGGCATGTTGTATTCAAACTACAGAAAACCAAAGATAAAGAAAAAATTCTGAAAGAAGACTGAGTGGGAGAAAGAAACTTTCTTTATAAAAGAGCAAAGAATTACATTGCATTTCTCTTCAGAGATCATGCAAGCAAGAAGAAAGTGGATTGAAATATTTAAAGCGTTGAGAGAAAAAAACTATCAACTTGGAATTCTGTATCTAATAAAATTATCTTTCAAAAGTGCTACGAAATAAAGATCTTGTATGTACAGGAACCTGCGGAATCCACTAAAAAAGTCTTAGAAGTGGGGCGCCTGGGTGGCTCAGTTGGTTAAGCGACTGCCTTCGGCTCAGGTCATGATCCTGGAGTCCCGGGATCGAGTCCCGCATCGGGTTCCCTGCTCGGCAGGGAGTCTGCTTCTCCCTCTGACCCTTCCCCCCTCTCATGTGTTCTCTCTCCGTCTCTCATTCTCGCTCTCTCAAATAAATAAAAAAAAAAAAAAAAAAAAAAAAGTCTTAGAAGTAATAAACAAGGGTGCCTGGGTGGCTCGGTTGGTTAAGCGACTGACTTCGGCTCGGGTCATGATCCTGGAGTCCCTGGATCGGGTGCCACATCGGGCTCCCTGCTCAGCAGGGAGTCTGCTTCTTCCTCTGACCCTCCCCCGTCTCATGTGCTCTCTCTCAAATAAATAAATAAATAAATAAAATCTTTAAAAAAAAAAGAATAAGTTCATGAAGGTTCCGAGCACAAGGTCAATGTACTAGAAAAAAATCAATTTTATTTTTATACAATACCAATGAACAATCTGAAAATAACTCCATTTCAGCGGTATAAAAAAGAATAAAATATTTAAGAATATAACAAAAAAGTGCAGCATTTATACATTGAAAACTACAAAACATCACTGAAAGAAATTAAAGAAGACCTAAGTAAATGGAAAGACATTCCATGTTCATAGATTAAAAGACTTACATTGTTAAAATGGCAATACTTACCAAATTGATCTGTAGATTCAACATAATCTATTAAGTTTCCAGCTGCCCTTTGGTGGAAATTTACAAGGTCCTTCCAAAACTTTAGTGGAAATGCAAGGGTATCAGAGTAGCCACAACAATCTTGAAAAAGCAGAACAAGGATGGAGACCTCAAACTATATGACTTCAAAACTTACCACCAACCTATAGCAATCAAGATAGTACAATACTGGCATTAGGTTAGTCATTTAGACAAATGGAATTGAATTGAGAGTCTAGGATTCAACAGTCACATTCATGATCTACTGATTTTTGACAAGGGTGCCACAGTAGTTCAGTGGAGGAAAGAATAGGCTTTTCAGCAAATGGTGATGGGACAGCAGGATATTCATAAACAGAAAAATGAGGCTGGATCCTTATACCATATCATATACAAAAATAATTCAAAATATATCATAGATCTAAATGTAAAAGGTAAAACTATAAAATTCTGATAAAAATAAGTCTTTATGACCTCGGGTTAGGAAATGGTTTGTTAGATATGTACCAAAAGTACAATGAAAGAAACAAACAAAAAAAAAAGAAAAATACATAAATTGGGTTTGATCTAATTAAAAACTTTTGAGCTTCAAAGAACATGCTCCAGAAGTTAAAAAGACAACCCACAGAATGGGAGAAAAATTTATGCATGTTGTATTTCTGAAAAGAGACTTGTATTTAGGATTTAGAAAGAACTCTTGCAACTTAATAATGAAAGGACAAATAAAATGGGCAAAGATTTGAATGGACGTTTCTCCAAAGAAGACATTCAAATGGTCAATAAGCACATGGAAAGAGGTGCATCATTAGTTATCAAGGAAGTATAAATCCAAACCATCATGAGATGCTATTTTACACCAGTAGGAGGGCTGTAGTCAAAAGACAAGAAAACAAGAGTCGGGGAGGATGTGGAGGAATTGTGAACCTCACATATTGCTGATGAGAATATAAAATTGCTGGTGGTGTGGCCACTGTAGAAAACAGCTCAGCTCAAAATGTTAAACATTAGAGTGACTGAATGACCTGGCAATTCCACTTGTAGGCATATTAGACCCAAGAGAAATGAAACGTGTTCACACAAAAACCTACACAGCAGCAATACTCATAATGGCCAAGAAGTAGAAACAATCCAAATGTCTGTCAACTGACAAATGTATAAAAATGTGGCATATCGACACAATGGAATATTACTCAGCCATTAAAGGTAAAGAATTACTGGTATATGCCACAATAGGGTTGAAGCTTGAAAACATTACTCTAAGTGATAGAAATCACTCAAAAAAGGCCACATATTGCATACTTCAATTTATATGAAATGTCTCAAATAGGCAAGAGAGACAGAAAGTTGATTGGTGTTTGCCTAGGGCTGGGATGTTGAAGAGAAGGGGGTGGGGGGTGAATGGGAGTGACTGCTATGATTATAGAATTTCTTTTTGGGGTGATGAAAATGTTTTGATTGTGGTTGTGGTCTACGTATATAATAAAAACCATTTAAGTTTACATTTAAATTGGTGAATTGTATGTGTGATTATATCTCAATAAGACAGGGTATATGTATATACATAATATATATATCATATATACAGTAGATCAGATGGTGATAAGTACTATGGAGAAATACGAAATATGGAGAAGAGATAAGACTGGGGCTAAAAGTTGAAATTTTAAGTAGAGAGATCATTGTAGGGCTCATTGAGAAGGTGATGTGTGAACAAAGACATTCTGAAAGGGATGAGGGAGTCAGGTGGATATGTAGGGGGAGAGCTTTCTAGGGCCTGGGTTTGGATCTGGGCTTTGTCACTGCCCATATCTCTGACCTTGGACAAGTCACGTAATGGCTCCGAGCCTGGGTTTCTTATCTGTAAAATAGTTGTTCCTATTTTCTTGTAAAATGACTAAGAGTACCTATTTCAGAAGGCTATTATATGGATTAAATTAATAATAAAAAAGAAAGTAAAGCCCTTAGAACAGTACACTGACACTAAGTCAAATGCTTTATAGTTGTTTTTATTAGCTCCTACTGCAAGTGCAAAAGCCCTTGCCTTCTAAGATGGAACGGTGCCCAGAATGTCTGTTGAATCAAGAAGGCCAAGCGGAGCCGGTACAGAATAATGATCAAGAGGGAAGATTGTAGGAAATGGGGAGAGGGCCCGTGACTTTTAGTCTCTGACATAGGTAATCATTGGCAGGTTTTGAATACAGAAAAGACACTATTTGAGTCACGTTTTAACACCATCACTCTGGCTCCTGTGTTGAAAACATACCAAGAGGGGACAAGGATGCACTCAAGGAAACCAGTTTTGGGCTATTGTGGTAATACAGATGCGAGGTGGTGGTGATAGTGAGAAGTGGTCAGATTCTGGTTCTACTTTAAAGGTAGAAACAAGCTCTACTGAAAGATTGGGCATTGGGTATGAGGGAAAGAGACTGTACTGTGACCTAAGCAATTGTCAGAATTCAGTTTAGATTTATTATGCTGAGGGAAGAATGAGAAGGCGCCCCCCCCTTTTTTTTTTTAACGTTTGGAGGTGGGGCGGAGTGGGGATGGGCAGTAATATAGTGAGTAACAGTGTGTGTGGGTGGGGGCGGGAATCAAACTTTCAGTTTTGGACATGATAATCTTGAAATGTCTGTTGCACATCCAAGCGCAGTAGTTGGTGTTCAGAGCAGAGGTTCGGACAGGAAAGAGGATAGATCATTGGTTCTTTCACAAATAATTAGTGAAAACCTGTCCTGTGCTAGGTCCTATTCTAAGTCCTATTCTAGGCTCTGGAGATACTTGTGAGAAAACAGACAAAGCTCCTCCTAACTTCATCTGTAATAGAGATACGGGTTTTATAAACAAGTCAGCAATCAAGCGCATTAATGAGATGGACACGGTGTACAATTGCTTGTATTTATATGTTTGTGTATTTATTTATTTGTTTATATGCTATGGTTGTTTTCAGTATTTGGAGTACTGCAAGAGCCAGAAGACTAGCGGTGCGACCTAGGAAAACCTCCCTCTCCCGACCGCGGGCAGTGAGGTATCCCCGCCCCAATGCGGGCCAGATTTCTAGCGCAGCCGACCGGCAGCATTGCGCAGGCGCGGCCTCAGTCTGGCGTCCTAGGCGACGACTCCGAAAGCCTCGGCGCAGGCGTAGTTCAGGAGGCCGAGGGAGCGTGAGGCCGGGGATGGGGCGGGGCGAGTTCGGAGTGCGCTTGCGCACTGCCTGCTCTCGCCCGAGGAGCCGCAGTCTCGAGAGCGCCAAGGCGGTGCTTCGGTAGTCTCTGGGAAACCTCTCCCGCGAACCCGGCCCCGTTGGACTGCGCCCAGGGCGGGGACCTCCGCCGGGCACAGGAGGGAGCCACGATGCCGGTGAGGAGAGTCGCTCAGTGGCTGGGGTTCCTCATCCCAGCGGCCTGGCTCGGGGGCGCGGCCGTTGCCATGGAGGCGCGGATCAGGCGGGCGGCCGGGGTGGGGCGGGGCAGGGTCCGGCTCTGCGGGCCCGAGCGGTTGGGTAGTCTTGGGGGGTGGGCTCCGTGGCCCGCGAGGTTCCAGCCGGTCCTGGGAGGGGCCCCGGACAGGCCCTGCCGCCTTCGCGGGTGCTGCATCCCGCAGGGCCTGCGCTGCTTGACATAAAGGCACAGCGCCAGAGGATGCGCTCTCGCTCCCAGCCCTGCTAGCTGAGTAGGGCGTCTGGGAGCGGCCGCGGGGGGTCGGCTTTGGATGCTCCGCACCTGGTGGGATCTGTACGCCGCGCAGCCGACCCTTGGATGGTAGCAAAACGAGAGCTGCTTGCTTTTACTCCAGCCCTTGACTCGAGCTGTCATTTCTCTCGTGGTACTTTAGCTTACAGTGCAGAATGTAACCCGTAGGTGTCTTTGTGTGTGAGGGGGGTGGGGGGTGGTATGTTTGTCTTGTAGGATTTCACAGAGTGTTACCGTACACTTGACAGGGGGCGTCCTAAGTCCCATATAGGGTCATGGAGAACACTTGGGCTTTGGTCGGTTTTCTACTGGTTGCGAGACCTGGGACAATTATTTAATCTTTCTGGGTCCTTAGTTCCCACATAATTAAACTGTTTCTCATGGGATTTTATCAGGATGAAATAAGGTAATGCACAGCGGAATTGAAGGACAGTGCTTGACATTTAGCATTAAATGCCCAATATTTGTTCCGTGTCGTTGCTTTCAAGTTACTGGTTCATTCAGCTGATATCAGGCATCAACCACATGTTAGGCACTGGAGGCAAAATACTGAGCAAAACCAGCCAGGTTCTTGAACTTGGGAAGACAGAAGCTTGCCTTCATGGCCAGAGGTGAAAGTCATGTTGATAGAGACAAGATGCTTATTCATGAAGCGAATGGGTGGCATGTAATAGTAGATTCTAGTGAATTGTGAAGTGTTCCCATGTAGGAGGAATGCTGGCCTACAGACGTCAGATCATCTTTTTTTTTTTTCCCCCAAGAGAATATAGAAATTGTTATTTTTACAAAATTTCTCCATTTTTTAAAAATTTTAACAACTAATTCAAAAATATTCTTTTTTTAAATAATTTTTTTTATTGTTATGTTAACCACCATACATTACATCATTAGTTTTTGATGTAGTGTTCCATGATTCATTGTTTGTGCATAACACCCAGTGCTCCACGCAGAATGTGCCCTCTTTAATACCCATCACCAGGCTAACCCATCCCCCCACCCCCCTCCCCTCTAGAACCTTCAGTTTGTTTTTCAGAGTCCATCGTCTCTAATGGTTCATCTCCCCCTCCGACTTACTCCCCTTCATTCTTCCCCTCCTGCTATCTTCTTCTTCTTCTTTTTTTTCTTAACATATATTGCATTATTTGTTTCAGAAGTACAGATCCGTGATTCATCAGTCTGTACAATTCACAGTGCTCACCATAGCATTTCAAAAATATTCTTAAGTGCTATGAGCCAAACAAAAGATAAATGTTTTTTATATAACCAGTTGGCAACCTTTGGTGTAGACAGATAGAACAGACATTAATCAAATAAGGAGCAAACAAAAGCAGAATTGAAACTGGTGGTAGAACAAAAGCAGAATTGAAACTGGTGGTAGATGATGGAGGGAGAAGGGTGCTCTCAGGGCCTATACCAGAATTTGACCTAGTTAGGGAAGTCTTCCCAAGTGAAGTGGCTGTTTTGCTGAGACCTGAGAATAAGTGAAGGGGAGAGTGAGGAATGTTCTAGGCCGGAGGAACAGCACATGGAAAGGCCTGTGGTAAGAAAGGGCATGGTGACAAGAAAAGGCTTAAAAAAAGCTAATGTGGCGGTGGCTAAGGAAGCCAAGCAGGGTAGCTTGTGAAATAAGGCTGGACAAGTAGACATGGGCCAGAGCCAGGTCTTACAGACCACCTTAAGGATTGTGATTTTTATCCTGAGATCTGTGGGAAACAATGGTTTTAAGTAAGGGAGCAACATGATTAAATTTTTGTTGAAGCTGACTGCTCTGTAGAGAACAGACTGTAGGAGAACCTAACTAGATGCCGGTGTCCAGTTTAGGGTAGGATCATGGTGACCTAGACTTAGGTGGTGAAAGCAGAGATGGGGAGAAGTGTGTTGTATTGATACTGTTCAACTAAACTATTGAACTTCAGTGACAGGATTGTATTTTTGTAATTGAAGTATAATTGACATATAACACAATAATTTCACCTGTACAACATGATTTGATATTTGTGTACCTTGTGAAATAATCCCCACAGTGAGTCTAGTGACCATCCATCACCATTGAGTTACAAAATTTTTTTCTTATGATGAACAATTTCAAGATATATTCTTTTAGGAACTTCCAAATATGCAGCGGTGTACTACTGACTATAGTCACCATAATGTATATTATTTATACGTGACTTATTTTATAACTGGAGATTTGTACCTTTGATCTCTTTCACCCATTTTGTCCACCTCTGTACCCCACTGCCCTCTGGCAACCACCAGTCTGTTCCCTGTGACTTTTGTTTTGTTTGTTCCTCTCTTTTGTTTTTTAGATTCCACATGTAAGTGTCTTTGCTTAGGGTTATATTTTAACATAGATAGTTAATCATAAAATTTCAAAAATTGAAACTTTACATATACAGATGTTCATAAGGTTAGAGGGATACTAAAACATTTCTCTCTGCCATTGGACTTTGTTTGCTGCGTTTCATTTCATGTTGTCTTCTATAGAGAAGATAGGCTACATATGTTACATGGTAAGAAACATTTTACTGATGCATTGTAGAAAATAAAACTCAAAGTGTCAGGGGAACACAGGACCTACTACTATATTCTTGATTAAAGTTGTTAACCATGTTCACATGTATTTTCCTTCAGGCGGGAAACTCAGAGGAAGTCAGGGACTTTTGTGGAGAAAGACAGTCCATAATATACTGATTCATTTTCTGCTTGAACAGCATTTATTTACTATAAATGTAAATTAGGCTTTCTTACTCCTCATTTGTATTGTAAAAGAAACTATTTGCCTTTTCATATCATTTAATAAGCTTTTCCTATATAGCTGTAAGATCTTTAATTGCATTTAACAAATATTTGTGGAGTGCTTAATATGTGCAAGGCACTGGGATGGCACAGTAGCCTTTTTCAAATTTGAAATTTAATTTGCTAAAGGTAAAAGTAAATGTTCTTTCCATTATTTGTGAATATTTTCTCCACCAGATCAATAAATCAGAGAAGCCTGAAAGCTGTGATAATGTGAAGGTGGTTGTTAGGTGCCGGCCCCTCAACGAGAGAGAGAAATCAATGTGCTATAAACAGGCTGTCAGTGTGGATGAGATGAGGGGAACTATTACTGTACATAAGACTGATTCTTCCAACGAACCTCCAAAGACATTTACTTTTGATACTGTTTTTGGACCAGAGAGTAAACAACTTGATGTTTATAACTTAACTGCAAGACCTATTATTGATTCTGTTCTTGAAGGCTACAATGGTGAGTATATTTTTCACTGTTTCTTAACTTTATCAAGGTATTAATACCCTATAAATTCATCCATTGTAATTGTACACTTTGATGAGTTGTAGTAAATACATACAGTTGTGAAACCATCACCACAATCCAGTTTTATGACCCCTCAAAGTTCCTATATGTCCCTTTGCAATCCCACCTCCAGTCATCCATTGACCTGCTTTTGTCTATAGTTCTGTCTTTGCTCGAAGTTTCATATAAATCAAATCATACCCTATCTCATCTTTCTAACCTGTTTTCTTTCAGTAGTATAATGTTGTTGAGGGTCAACCATGTTATTGTATGTATCAGTACTTTGTTCCTTTTTAATGCCGAATTGTATGAATATACCACCTTTTACGATCTTCAGGGAAAATCTGGATTGTTCCAATTTTGGGGCAATTATATATAGTCCTGCTCTGAACATTCTTTTATAGAAAGTTCTTTGTGCAGATAAGTTATAAAGTTTCTCTTGGGTAGATACCTAGAAGTAGAATTGGTGGGTCATATGGTTAATGTATATTTATCTTTTGAAGAAATTGCCAAACTATTTTCCAAAGTGGTGACTATTAATTTTTTTCCCCACCAGTGAGTTATGAGGGTTCTTTTAGTTTCTTCACATTCTCACCAACATTTAGATTGTCGGTCTTTTTAATGACAGCCGTTCCAGAGGATCTGTAATAGTATCTCATTGTTTTAACTTACATTTCTATAACAGTGTTGAGCATTTAATCACGTACGTATTAGCCCTTTGTATATCTTTTAAAATATTTTACCCTCTGGGGTGCCTGGGTGGCTCAGTCATTAAGCGTCTGCCTTCGGCTCAGGTCATGATCCCAGGGTCCTGGGATCAAGCCCCGCATCGGGCTCCCTGCTCAGCGGGAAGCCTGCTTCTCCCTCTCCCACTCCCCCTGCTTGTGTTCCCTCTCTCACTGTGTTTCTCTCTATCAAATAAATAAATAAAGTCTTTAAAAAAAAAATTTTACCCTCTTTTCAGTTTCATTGCCTATGTTATTATTGAGTCATGCTTTTTATACATTCTGGATTCAAATCTTTTGATCAGATAAGTGATTTGGAAATATTTTCTTCCAGTATGTGGCTTGTATTTTCATTTTTTAAATGGTGTCTTTTGAAGAGAAAAGATTTTGAGTTTTGATTAAGTCCAGTTTATCATTTTTTTTCTTTTATCATCATGCTTTCATTGACATAGGCAGGAAATATTTGCTGAACCCAAGACCAAAAAGATTTTCTCTTATGTTTTTATCCAGAAGTTGTAAACATTGTATGTCTTACATTTAGGTCTGTGATTCATTTTGAGTTAATTTTTATTAAGGGTGTAAGTTCTTTGCCTTTTATTTTCCCCCTTCTGACCTATGGATATCCAGTTGTTGCAGCACCATTCGTTAAGACTATCCTTTCCCTATTGAATAAACTTGGTTCTCTTGTCAAAAATCAACAGACTACAGTTGCGTGGGTTTATTTCTGGATTGTCTATTCTGTTCCATGTCTATCCTGTTTTTATTACTGTAGGTTTATACGTTGGAATTAGGTAGTGTCTGTTCTCTAGCTTTATTATTCTTTTTCAAAATTGTTTTGGCTTTTCTGGATCCTTTGCATTTTCACATAAATTTTAGAATTACCTTGTCAATTTCCACAAAACAAAAACAAAAAACCTACTGGGATTTTGGTAGGGATTGTGTTGAATTGTTATTCTGACAATATTGAGTCTTCTAATCCAGAACTTGGTATCTCTCTTCATTTATTTATATCTTGTTTAATTTCTCTCATCAGCATTTTGTTGTGGTTCTTTTTTTTAAAGATTTTATTTTATTTATTTGAGAGAGAGAGTGAGAGAGAAAGCACAAGAGGGGGTAGGGTCAGAGGGAGAAGCAGACTCCCCGCTGAGCAAGGAGCCTGATGCGGGACTCGATCCCAGGACTCCGGGATCATGACCCGAGCCAAAGGCAGTTGCTTAACCAACTGAGCCACCCAGGTGCCCTGTTGTAGTTTTTAATGTACAGGTCTTGTACTTACTTTGATAAATTTATTCCTAAGTATTTTTTTTTCCTGTTTCCTTTTTTTTTTTTTATAGATTTTATTTCCTCATTCATGAGAGTGACAGAGAGAGGCAGAGGGAGAAGCAGGCTCCCTGCAGAGCAGGGAGCCCGCTGTGGGAGTCGATCCCAGGACTCTGGGATCATGACCTGAGCCAAAGGCAGATGCTTAACTAACTGAGCTACCCAGCCACCCTCCTTTTTCTTTAAAGATTTTTATTTATTTGTTAGAGAGAGAGGGAGAGAGCACGCAGGCGCACACAAGCAGGGGGAGGGGCAGAAGGAGAGGGAGAAGCAGACTCCCCTGCTGAGCAGGGAGCCCGATGGAGGGCTTGATCCCAGGACCCCGGGATCATGACCTGAGCCGAAGGCAGATGCTTAATCGACTGAGCCACCCAGGTGCCCTACCTCTTCCTTTTTTAAATTTAAATTCTAGTTAACATACGATGTATTCCTAAGTGTTTTTGATGCTTTTGTGAATACAATTATTATTATAATTTCATTCTTAGAATTGTATATTTTTGATACATAGAAGTGCAGTTGATTATTTTAGTAGTCATAGAGTTCACTACTTTAACCATTTTACAATATACAAGTCAGGGGTTTTAGTACCTTGGTAGTGTTGTGTAACTGTCACTGTTATCTGTTTCCAGAACATCTCCATCACCCCCAAAAGAAACTATGTATCTATTAGCAGTTACTCCCAGTTTTGCTCCCTCCTACCCTGGCAACTATGTATTTACTTTCTTTTTTTTTTTAAAGATTTTATTTATTTATTAATGAGAGACAGAGAGAGAGAGAGAGAGAGAGGCAGAGGGAGAAGCAGGCTCCCTGCAGAGCAGGGAGCCCGATGCGGGACTCGATCCCAGGACCCTGGGATCATGACCTGAGCTGAAGGCAGACGCTTAACTATCTGAGCCACCCAGGTGCCCATGTATTTACTTTCTATGTGTATGAGTTTGCCTGTTCTGGACATTTCATTTAATAGAATCATATGCTATACAGTCTTTTTTTTTTTTTTTGCTATACAGTCTTTTATGTATGGCTTTTTTTACTTGGTATAATGTTTTCAGTGTTCTTTTACATTATAGTATGTATCAGGACTGCATTTTTTTTTTTAAGATTTTATTTGAGAGAGAGCACAAGCAGGGGGTTGGAGCAGAGGGAGAGGGAGAAGCAGAGGCCCTGCTCAGCAGGGAGCCTGATGTGGGGCTCCATCCCAGGACCCCAGGATCATGACCCCAGCCGAAGGCAGACGCTTAACCAACTGAGCCACCCAGGTGCCCCAGGACCGCATCTTTTAATGGTCAATTAATTCCCTAGGATTTTCTTTTTTTTTTGAAAGATTTTATTTATTTATTTGACAGAGAGACAGGGAGAGAGGGAACCAAGCAGGGGGAGTGGGAGAGGGAGAAGCAGGCCCCCCGCCGAGCAGGGAACCCTATGTGGGGCTTGATCCCAGGACTCTGGGACCATGACCTGAGCCGAAAGCAGATGCCTAATGACTGAGCCACCCAGGCGCCCCTGTGATTTCCTATATACAAGAGTGGATACCTATGGATAGAGTAATTTCATAATGAAATGAGGTTAATGTATGAAGGGGACTTGAAACTCCTTTGGTAGTTTTGAAGGTAACAACCTTCAAATAAAGATAGTACAATTTCTTTCTTTCCCATCTTTTTGTTACCTGAATCGCACTGGCTAGAACCTCCAGTACGGTGTTGAATACGAGTGGTGAGAATGGACATTTTTGTTTTGTTCCAGATCTTAGGGAGAAAGCATTCACTGTTTTACCAGTAAGGATAATGTTATCTATAGATATTTATCTGATTAAGTTCCCCTCTGTTCTTGGTTTGTCCCCCCGCCCCCACCGTAGGAATGGATTTTGGATCTTGTCAAATGCATTTTTTTCTGCACCTGTTGATGAAATCATCTTTTTTTTTTAATTTGTTAATATTTTTCAGTTACATTGATTGTAAATGTGAAACCAGTCACACCACTTGGTTATGGTATATTATTCTTTTGTATGTTGTTAGATTTGATATGCTAAAATTTTGTTTAAACTTTTTTGTCTATGTTCAGGAGAGATAGAGTAGTTTTCTTGTAATGTCTTTGTCTGGTTTTGGTATCAGGATAATGCTAATTTCATAGAATGAGTTGGAAAGTATTCCCTCCTTTTTAATCATATGGAAAAATTTGTCCAGAATTAGTATTATATGTTCCCTAAGTGTTTGGTAGAATTTACCAGTGAAGCCAACTGGGCCTGGAGTATTTTTTTGTGAGAAGGTTTTTAAAGATTCAATGTCTTTAATAATATAGGGTTTTTTGAGTTACTTTTCTTTTAGTGAGCTCTGGAAGTTTACTCTCATGGAATTTGTCTCTTTCATCTAAGTTTTTGAATTTATTGGGAAAAAGTTGTTTATATCAGTCCTCTATTTTTCTTGTGTTAGAATGTGGTGATGTAATCTTTCTCTGATATTGGTATATGGTATTTGTGTCATCTCTTTTTCTTGTGGTTAGTCTGGCAGAGGACTAATAAAGTAGGAGTAGGTTCTCCTACTTACTCTTTTTCTGCTTATGGTGGAAGCTGAGGTCATTGTTTTGAGACCTTCCTAACTTTCTAATATGGAGATTTAATTCTATGAATTACCCCTTAAGTACTGCCTTAGTGGCGTTGTACAGATTTTGACATACTGTGTTTTCATTTTCATGCAGTGCAAGGTACTTTCTCCCTTCCCTCTTGATTTCTTCTTTGATCCTTGGGTTATTTAGAAATGTGTTAGTTTCCAGATAATTTGAGATTTTCCAGAAATCTTTCTGTTACTGATGTCTAGTTTAATCCCGTTTTAGTCAGAGAACATACTATGTAAAACTTGAATCTTTTGAAATTAGAGACTTGTTATATGACCCAGAATAAGTTTATTATTAAAT